TTCTGAACTGATGAAAAGTGAGTGGATTCCTTTCCTTTTTATTTCTTTTTAGTAATAAGGCAGAGTAGAACAGCATTTCCTAAGGAACGATCATCTAGAGATAAATGCTAATCCATGCTCTCAGAAGGGTGGGGGAAGAATATAAGGAAGAGGGTAATAGAGAGATTATCAGCTGTCTTATCATTCAGGAATACTACTTTCAGATAAGTGAAATAAGTCCCAGACTGAGGGAGTTCAGCCTAACTGAAATTCTTTCATTTTTTCCTTCCTTTATCAGCACAGAAGAGGAAGATGAGAGGCTTCATTGGGAAGAATACTGACTGCAAGCCATGAGCTGCATTCCATTCTCTCCCCATTTTCCCCATAGAGGAGGGCTTGGGGAGACAGGGAAGTAGCTCAGAAGCAAATTCTGACTTTCAGACCAGGGACTGCAACTGGAGCAACAGAGAAAAGACCCATGAGTCATGCAGATCATAGCAAACCTCAGAGAAAAGTGCCTGGAGTAGAGAGAAGACAGGCTATAGGAACAGGCCAGGGAGAAGAGGAAAGAGAGTGCAAGAGGCATGAGAGGTGTTTGCTCAGCAGTGTAGAGAGAGCAAAAGCTGCAAAGGAGCCATAAACCTGTCAGAACAGAGAGTTGTCATAAAGAAGTGTCAGGGGGTAGAGACATGGTGTTACCAGACCTGGAGGTTTACCAGACCTGTTGATCTCAGAGGGCAAGCAGAATCCTCCATTCTCAATGAGAATCAAAGCAGAAGGAAAGTCAAAGGGCAGCAGTTGAAACAAACAAGGACATACTCTCATTCCACCATAGACAAGGACCTTCTGAACAGGTGCTCTCCAGTGCAGAACTCACTTCATCCTCCTGCCCAAGCACTCATTCAGTCATACAATTATTTATATACAGAAAACAGACATAAACAGAAACCAGAATAACTGGTTTCTAGTTGTGTACCAGTTTACCAGATGACCTCCTCAGCCAACATTTGACTATTGAGAAAGGCCTTGGGAAGGTCTCTGTTGGATCACATTCCTATTATTAAATGCCAAAACAAACCAGACCAGACTAGAATGGAATTCTAAACCAAAAATAACAGATCTTACCTCTTAGGAGGATCAGAAGGACTCAATCCGTTTGGGTTTTGGGGTGCTGGTGGCAGTTCTTTCAGGACACTCTAGCTTTGATAAGGGATTCACTGGGCCGTGGAATGCCTCAGGGAGACACCTCCTCTGTAACAGCTCATCAAACTGTGGAGATCTGGAAGGAGGCTGAGCTCCTGAGTGGCAATCTCATGGGGTCCTCCAAATGTAATACCAAGTGAGATGCACAGAAATGCCACATAGTGATGGTCGATTTAGGACTCTATTATCAATAGCTGGCAGTCAGAGAGGGAACAAATGCCAAAAGAGGACAGAGTTTACAAAGCTTAAAACCACAATTACATCATGCCAGGGAAAAAGTCAATAATCATAGTTACATCAGATCACCATAGTTGCACCAGACCGGGATGGCAGTTCAGTTAACAAAGAAGTTTTTAGCTAACAAAAATTTTGATTAGAAAAATACAAGTTTCTCAGAATGGGCTTCATGGAGATGCAGGTTTAGCGGGGTGGGAGGATGTGCTATCTGGATATGTTACCTGACCCCTTGTAAGTTTTCCGGTATTGTAAAAAAATTACATTACCTGAAACTACCTGCATGAGATGTTCTGCCTGGCTGGCTGTAGTAGAAATGGCTGGGCATAAATACAGTGTAAAGCCAAAGTCAGAACAAAAATGGAGTTAGTTTTGTCATTTCTCTTCCCACTTCTCTTTTACTCAGAGAAGTACTCTTATCTCTTCTACATCACTGTCATGTTCTTAAGTGCCTTCAAGGAAAAAGTTCCAGTTCAACCCCTAAAATCACTACTGGAAATAACTGTTCATAAACCTTATTCTTTCTCCTCTTCCTCAACAACCATTTGTACTATTTCTTCTCAACTTTACAAAATAGCACTCTATTTATACACAATACAAAAAATTACCTGTGTGTATGCATACCTGCAAATGCAGAGCCCATAAGGATATGCAACATATCATAGTGTCTACAATCGTTCCTCAAAAAGTAATGTTTTTCCCAGCAGCCCCTTTCTTTCTCACAATTTTGTCCCAGGTATTAGTCGTATCTATCAGAAAAGTTAAATTTCTAATATGACACAATCTTTGTTTCTTACCATCTTAACTCACTATAGTCCTTGGAATAAGGATATGGAAGTTTACACTTTCCTCCTTTTGTCTGAGGTGATGCAACCTGTTTTCATTTTGTTTTTGCATAATACTGACCCTCTTGAAGGAATTATTATGAAAATGCAGAACTTAAGAGAATAGGAAAAAATAGAAGTTAAATTGCTATGCATGATACCTGACTACCCATTACTCCCTGCTACGAACCTAGGGAAATGCAGGGCCTCAGAAAAGAGTGGTTGCTTGACACATGTACGGATTCTATCAATAGTTATCAAGGAGTCCAATATTAGCAGCCACTCTCATCATCCCTGATACTGAAACTGCAGAGTTCCCTATTTTTAAATTAATATGTAGATTTGAACCACAACAAAAGAGCAGGAAAAGATGGTGAATTGTTCTCATGCACCATAGTCCCTGAATATTAGGTTACTCAAAGGAAGAAGGGAGGCCTTTCATAGTGAGTAAGATTGATATTTTCTTCACATCAGTGAGATGGAGGGAAGTAAAGATTTGAGTTTCTGCCCATGAAAAACCTGTCCCAAAATACAAGCTACATAGATGCCACATCAGGCAATTTTACACTCCACTACTAGTTATCAGCATAAAAAACCCTGAAAAAGTGGAACATGGTGAGATTGGTGGAATCTTTCAGGGAACTCAGGAATAACTTTAGGTCTTACTGGAGGCAAATATAACTTTCTATGTTCAGCTTCACCCTGGCTCCACCTTCCTTACTGCATATGTATTGGGGGAGTACAGAGCCTGCGAAAAATCCACTCAGTGAAAAGAATGGGGATCAGGAAGAATGGTTCTCCACACACCAGTTCTATCTTTCTCCCAGTTAATCCTGTCAAGAGAAGGACCATCTATGCAGAGCACCATTTTGGTCCCGATGTTGTTCTTCATCCATTCTTGACAGGAGAGGGACTTTGGATGGAGTAATTCAGTGTTGAAAGTAATTCAGGGTTGAGGGCTTAACTGTGTAGCCAGTACTCCCCCAAGAATCGTAGCCAGTACTCCCCCAAGAATCTTCTTCTATACAACCCATCTAGGTATGGTGATGGCCATCAGGAAAATACCTGTGATTCTCAAGTGAGGAAATGGGAAGGGATGAGAAATAACCCTGACTGCACTTTCATGAGGCCACTGTTCTTATGCTTGCCACTGCTCATTTGTCTCACTTAGTATTAAGAAGAAGAGGAGTTTGGTCACTCAAGTTCATTCATCAATGTCTATTTCATATAGCCTCCAGAAATGACTGAAAATATGATCTGGATGTTTTTTCTCTTGGTTCTACACAACAAAACTCTCTATATAAGGCAAAGATAACCTAATTTGTGTTCCAAATTATGTTCTTGTTTTTCATCTAGCCAAACTCATCAAAAAGGATTTTGATGTATTCAACATATAATGCCATACAGTTCCACATCGTTGCAAACACTAAGCAACCACAAATACTTGTTTCATGAATTTCATGAAATATCAGATTTGCTATTAGCACTGCATCTCTCTAAATCCTTCTAAAATAATCCCTTGCCCAACTGAGAGATTAAAATTCAACAAGACTATTTTGTTTTCTAGTTATCCCTAATGGGTACCAAAGAACCTGTTTTTCCACAATTTATCATGTTTCTTGGCTACAGACAATCTGGGTTACACTGATGTAGGTCCATTATAATTTATGTTATTTTTTGTTGTTGGGGAATAATCTAATGGAAGAGGTTTAGTTTCTTCAGCAACAGCAACTTTAGTGGGCCTGAGACACATAAACAAGACCTTCCCTTAGAATGTGAAAGAAGAAAACATAAACACAGCAGTAGTTTTCAAAGAATAATTATTGCCATGTAATAGTGTTATTACAAATTCAGCATTTTTCTTAACTGTAAGATCATATGGCTGCCTTTAGTCAAATATAATCTTTTTTTCAGGAAAAATGAAATTAAGAATAGCAATATAAAAAAGGCTTGATGACTACAACTTCTCGACGATGTCAACAAATCAGCAACAGCCATACAAACTCCATCATCTGCAAAATAGCAATACATTATTAGGCTTTCCCAATTTAAAATGTGCATGCGTAATTCAAAAATAGCTTCTTATTTGACTAAAATTAATAAAATAAGAATATAAAATGTGCGTATTTGCATATATGTGTGTCCATGATGATAAGAAACTGGTTAACTTGAGAAAATTTACATTGGACTTTTCTTTATTCTCCAAAAAAATTTGGTTTTAATTTTTCTCTGGTTACTTTCAGATCAGAGGGGGGAGTGGATCTTGAGAATTTCTTTTTACAATCTTTCACCATATGGATACAGAGTCCTACAAGCTCTTGGGACCCTACTCATATGGCTCTAAGACAGTGGTGTCAGCATACAGAAGTTCCATGCAAACTGAGGCAGACAAAAACCTAGTAGAGTACTGGGAAAATGAACAACAGACTTAGCTGAGGAAACATTGGCAGCTGATTACTGCTGAGTGAGGAAAAGAAAACAAGGGACTCTACATAGGCTGACTAGACCTCTGTGGTTAGACTTAAACAGGGGAACATCTGGGGACACTGACTTGACACATTGGGTGTTAATATGGATGACAGAGTATAAGGTTTCCAGTGGTGGGGCTGTGGGAGTGTGCTGGTGGGGATGGGGGTATAAAGATGATTAAAAGACTTTGTGATATTCTGTATAAAATATACAAATATTCAATGAAACCAAATTTTAATAAAAGAGTTTGGTTTTGTCTTGGAAGGGTTTCCATTACTTACTTTCCTGAAATCAGTGGATTTGTCTTGGATCAGTATCTTGACTTTCATTTAGAGCACAGACTTTCCCACATTTATAGCATGCTTTGCTCTGTGGGCGATTCAGATCTTTACATAATGGGCATACCCAATTCATTGGAGTAAGATTTAAGTCAGGCTTCTTCTGAGGCTTGGGTTCTGCAACCTTTGACCTTGACATTTGTTTGGTCTTCTGCTTGGGAGACAGCTGTTTCTTTGGGTATTTACTGACATAAGGTCTCTTAGTTTTTCCCAGGGGGCTTGTTTGATGTCTATTTGGCACTTCCTTCTGGCTCTGGCTCCTCCCAGCCCTCAAAGCAGTCATGCCCTGGGGCATCTCTTGAGCTTTCCTCTGGTTATGGTTCCCACCATTCCCCAGGGGTGTCTTCTGCTGGAATATTACTGCCTCCTCTTTCAGATAATGTCTGTTGCTATCTCCCAGGACACCTCTCTCCTGGGGCATGTTTGGATCTTCTTTCTGGTTATAGTTGATACTATTTCCTTGGAGAGATATTCTCCAGGGAATCCCTGGATATTTCTTCTGGCTGTTCCTGGGAGTGTTCCCCTGGGCAGCTGTCTGCTGGCATGTCACAGAATCTTCCTTTGTGTTGTTGCTGGTGTCATCTCCCAGGTGAACCGAGTGCATGAGAATCCCTGGATATTTCTTCTGGCTGTTCCTGGGAGTGTTCCCCTGGGCAGCAGTCTCTGGTGGCATTAATGAATCTTCCTTTATGCTATGGCTAATGTTCAATTCTAGGACAGCTGTTTCTTTCGCTGGTTCTTTCTTCGAAGTGGGAGCCATCCCCTGTGGTATGATCTGATTTTCTGTGTGGTTGTGGTTACTGTTGTCTCCAGAAGGAGTTGTGTCCTGGGGCTTCTCTGTATCTTCTTGACAGTGGAGTCTGCTGTCTTCCATGTAAAATCTTCCCTGGAAGATCTCGTGGCATTCATTCTGCCTTTGACTGATTTGTTCCCACATGGGAGCCATTTCTTCCTGGGCCCACAAATCAGTTGAGTAGATTCCCGCAGTAACAATCTGGGATACAGCTGTGTTCACAGTTGCTGCTGTTGCCCCTGATTCTATTACTAATGGGCATGGTACAAATATTGAATGCGGGACTCCTATAAAGAACGGCAGATTGACTGACAGTGGATACACTGCCTGGACCCAAGGAACTGGAGATTCTGGGACACAAAGCAAACTTATTGGGAATGGCACGTGGGCCTCCAAAAGGGGAATGTTCTGGCCCCTCCAGGACGCCACGTTTGCTTGCTCCTGTTCATTCAGTGACCATGGTGCTGTCCAATACTCTTCGACTCCAGGTTCACATGCAATGCCCCATGGCAATGTATTATACATTGCTGACCTCTCTGCCTGGAGCAGCCTCCCACGAAGCACTTCACACTCATCCACTGCCTCTTGTAGGGCAGTCTGTGTTATCTGCAACTGAGCTGCTGCCTGGTCTCTCTCGTTATGCAACTGCTGTAGTTCAGAGGCTAGAGTGCAAGAAACTGTCTCATATTCTCCCAGCTGATCTTGCAGTCGCCCAACCTTACATGCCTGCTGTTCACGCTGCCTTGCTGCCACTCGCACACTCAAGGCCAATGCACTCCAGGTACAAGCTCTCTTGAGGGAGTGTGGCACTTTGGGGTCTACGAGGATGACTTGAAGCTGATCTTCTATCTCATTCCAGGGTCGAGAGCGATAGTTCACATAGAATTCAGAGCCGCCTCCATTCATAGTGATTTCGTTGTTAATGAATCTGATGACTTCAGTATGGTGGAAACCACTGGCATGGTCCCCAAATTCAACTGCCATTGCGGCTGCAGCTCATCCAAGTAATATTTTCGTGGGCTTCTTCCACTGTCACTGGCACTGTTGCCACAGATACGGCCAAAAGTATTCCTCCACCTGCCTTCAGACTGTTTTGCTTCACTCCTTGCCTAATCTTGGTTTCCTCCTCAAGCGCTTTCCTCATTTCCCTCCATCTGCTGATAGAAACCAAGCTGATACTGTCACCAGGCCCACTGTGCCCAACTGTAACTGTGAGGTAGACAGAGGAGAACCTGTGCTATGTCACAAAGGAGAAGACCTGAGTGTTGCCGCAAGGCATGTTGGGAAACAGCGTCACTTGTCATTGAATCACCTACAAGGAGCATAAACATGGTAGATATTGTGGGGACTGCAACGAGCTCAAACCAGAAAAGGTAAAAGGTCTTTTGGAAACCATAACCTAGTGGATGGGACAATATCTAAGACCATACTGTTGCTGGTCAGAAAAAAAATAGAATTTCTGGACTGGGAGATGAAGGCAAAGAAGAAATGGTCTTGAGGCATGATTAGGTGGAGGGAAATGGGGTTTCAGGCTTCTGAGTTAATGGAAATGAAGAGAATATAATGTGGAGATACTACAAAAATTCAGGAGAAAGGAAGGGCAACAGAGCATTGGCATAGACAAAACAGAAGCCTGGCCTTGCAGTGCGGGGATGGAGAAGACTGAGGAAATGGGTGCACAATGGAGTAGCAGTGGAAACCAGGCACTCTTGTGTACTGTACATAAGTAGAAAGAGAACCAAGCAGTTTGGGGACATGGCAAGTCCCAGCTGAGAGGCAGAATGAGGAAGGGCACTAAGAAGTTAATCAATACATTGGCTGAATAGTTAAAGAGCTAGATAAATAAAATATTCCAGGAAGACTAAAGACAGGAGGCCACAATGCATGTCTGTGTGCTCACTGGGTGAAAGGGATGAACAGAAATTTCACAGCTTCACACTCTGAAGTAGAATTTTCTGATGCAACACTGTGCAGCTGAAATGAAGATACTGTTATCTCATATATCTCTCTGGGCTTTAGGAGACAATATAAGCTATGGATAAGTCTTTTCCATTTTGTCGTGGGATGATGGGGGTACTCTTTGATCAATTTCTACATAGTACCTGCTTCAGTTCCTCTCATAGTCTTCTGGTTTCAACTTTTAATACTAAATCCTTCACCTACTCTTTGAATCTCAGGCTCTGCGATTTCTTGAGTTCGGTTCATTCATTATCTCTACTGACTTATTTATTTCAAGCTGTCCTTTTCCATAAACTCCCTTCCCATTATCACATGAGCATATTTAAGTTTCCTACATGTTGTATAATAGTCTCGTATTCATTATGTGCACCTTCATTTCCTCTTGTATAATTACAGAGTATATCAAAATAGTAACATAGGTAACCTGCACTCAATAACCCAAGTTTCTTCCAACTTGACCTTTCTGTAGCACTGGCTTTTTATGAATTTTCCTTTTTCAAAATAAATCCTCTTCAACACCAATTTGCTTGTTTTCATTCTTTTGGCAGCTCCTTTTAAATGTTTGTTTTGCTTTTGTTCTTCTTTGTTTTTTCGCTTATGATATGCATCCACCATGTCTTCTTAAATACTGATTTTGTGGAGGTCTCTCTTTGAGTCATTCCTATTCCAGGCACTCTTCCTTATTCCATGCACTCTCAATGTGATTCCATCTGTTCTTTGTTCACAATTACCATCACTAATTGATAAGGACTCCCAGTCCTTTATGTCCAGCCCTACTGTTTCTCAAAAATTAGACTCAAATTCTATAACAAACATCCTAGAAACCTTCACTTGACTCTTCCATGTGAGCTTTGTTCTTCAAAATTCCTAAACTCATTAGTACTATTTTTCACATATTTCTTATCAAATTTCATATTTCTGAGGGTGTATTTCCTCTGACAGGAGATTCAAGGATGCAGTAAGGACAGAAACTAGTCTTTCTTTGTCTACAGGAGATAACTTGCAAGTTTTCCAGTGAATTCTTGAAGCTATATAGTACTAAACCATAAATACCTAATGCATACACACACATATTTGTGATTGTACATACATACATACATTTAATGCCTACTCTGTCCTAACTAAACACATATACTATGTTGTGGTCACAACTTTTGCAATTTGATTTACTAGAGCAAAAGTAGCATGTATTTTTTCCCCTTTTTTCACAGATTCACAGACATAGAGTCTGTGAAAGTCAGGGTCAGTCCTAGCAACCTCTTCATATGATTTTTTTTCCCTTTCACAAACATTAATTTTCCAATTGCAATAAATAATTTATGAGCCAGGCATGGTGGCACATGCCTTTAATTCCAGAACTTTGGAAGAAGAGGCAGGCAGATCTCTGTAAAATCGAGGCCAGCCTGGTCTACATAGTGAGTTCCAGGCCAGGGTTACAGGGAGACATTGTCTCAAAAAGGCCAAAAACAAACACTCATTTTGTTTTCTCTTTATCATAGCTTAATTGCCAGCATAATTCTTCCTGCACAAGTCATCATTATTAATTAAAATAATGAATACCTGAGCATAAGAATTGTGATACTGCAGTAGATGATCTGATAACTTGAACAACCCCTAAATCACTAACAATCAGGTCTTATCATGTGACTATGTTAGACAGAGGGATGATTCATGACCTAAGTTGCATGATGCAAAGTGGTTTAGGATTTCATTACATTGCTCAAAACACAGTATAAATCAGAACACAAATTTGAAATTTTTCTCTTAATATTTTCAAACCACCAGTAAGTGAAAGTAAAGACAGTGAAATGTAAGTAGCAGACACTGTAAAAGTAATTTTCATTTTCATGTTATCTCCCTTGTAACTACAAAGGAACCCTTTTATGGAGAGGTGGGACATAAGCTGGGGTTTGAACAGTGGGTAAGATTCAGATGAAAACAGTGAGTAGGAAAATAATTCTGAAATTGATAAATGATAGTTCTATGTTATTTACCAGTTGGCTGCTTGGACAAGATCTTTACCAGGTCACACTGTTCTGCCATATCCAGCTAAATCACATTGCTCAATTCATAGGACTACTGCCTCTTGTGTTTGCATTCCACTATGTTTTTAGAAGCTGGCATCTGGTCCCCCACCTACCCGCCTTATATCTTTCAGCTATTTCCATAGATGCTCGTTGCTAGAGCTACACATCTGATACCACCAAGGAGGCACCATGTGTGTGCTGGGATTTGTGATATTTCCAGGATCTGCATTGCCTTCTGGGTGCTGTAGGCATCATCTGCCTTTGATCAGAAACAAAACATAGTCTGTATATAAAAGCAGAAACAATAGAGTGGTTTGCAAGAAGAATTAGGCTGAAACGTGGAATATCCATAAAATGAAGATAAATATAAAGAGGAAATATGAATGAGAGTTAAGAATTTTGTATAATAAGCATATTGTCTTTCTTACATTGGCAATGAAAATGAAAAAGAAATTGAACATATTTAATATGACTTTCAAATCTTAATAATTAAATGTGTTTATATATATAAATAAATGTTTTCACTAAAATAATGGCATTTTAATTTTGAATCAGATCAACTTGCAAAGATTTGAATAACTATTCTGAGAATCAGCACTGTTTTTCTAGACATATTAAAATACAGGTGTAAGTGGGCAGTTACTATCTCTTATTACGTAAAGGTTATGGAAAAATAGTTGAAACTGTAAAAATTAGCATTTGTAGTTATTTTTAAATGCTGTGTTACACTGTATATTCCTGCCAACACCACACTAAAGGAACTACTCTTTATGATGGTATACATCAAAAGTTAACTGTGTATATGTAATAAATGATATACATAATTTTAGACGAATACAATAGATTCCTGTTGCCTCAAAACCACCACCTTCAGTGATCATTGTTCATATTCATAGTGCTAAGCATAGTGTGTTGTATTTCTCAAGAGTCATTTTATAGTCTACATTTTGTTCCTTGTTTTTCAAAGACAGGGTCTCTTCCTTTAACTCCCTCTGGCCTGAAACTCATTATGCAGACAAGGCTTGCCTCTGCCTCCACATATGGCTTCCATTTTACTTTTTATTCTGTTTATTCAATGTAAATTTCTCAAAAATGTTCATTGTCACTGAGCTAGAAATATTACATGTACTTTCTCTAGTTAGATTCAGTTGAACACAAAAATTAGGATGCAGTCATGCTCTAAATCCCTAGTCCTACAGTTGTTTTTCAGGAAGACCAAATGATGAGTGAAATTCATCCATTTAGTGGCTACACAGACTGTACTACAAATGTTCATGAGGGACTTTGGATGCATACAATAGAAATTCATTTCTTGTCTGTCCAGTTTACAAGTTAATAATGCCAACAAGAACATCTTCAATTAATACATGCTATATTGCTACAATTTTAAAATTTATCCAAAATAGTGATTTTTTTCCAACTGGTATCAGTTCTAAAATGTTAGAAATTCCAATGTTTATTCTTTGTACATTCTTTATTAACCACTTGTATTCCCAGTCTATCTTTAATTTTCTGAATTTTAGATCTTATATCCACTACTGTACCATTATTGATAATGTTACATTCACACACTACTTTCTAATTTTATGATAGGTTGAAGATTCTCAATCTTTACACTACTGGACCTCTAGATTGGGTATAATATTGATAATCACATCATCTTTCCTGAAGCTATTCACACATCTTCATTTTCTAGGTATCAATCACTATAATATCAAATTTCTCTAGTTAGTATAGTATGTCTCCAACCATTCATTTTTTTTTGGTCTTCCTGCAGCCCCAGCTGTCCTAGAACTCACTATGTAGACCAGGCTGGCCTTGAGCTCACAGAGATCTGCCTGCCTCTGCCTCTTAAGTGCTCAGATTAAAGGCATGCACCACTATGCCTGGCTGCATCCATTCTTTTTTATTGTGTGCTACATTTCTTGCATTTGTTCAATAGAGATTGATGTTCTCTGGGATCTATGTTGTTCCTCTTTAATTTTAAATCTTTTCTCA